ATATCTATGACATAGCTTCTTGTTAAAACTATTTCTGAATGTAGAATATTATTTAGATCATTGCAAGCTTGAAAGATAAATTTAAAAGAAACAGGATTGGTTAGTCAAGATCCTGATAATAGTGATTGTTCTTCTCAATAAATGACTTCAGGAACAATGGAGGTAGGGTGCATGGTAAAAGGGAATCTGGAACGGGTAAGAGACACCCATAAGGCTCCCACAGGATTGTTATAAGAGTATGTTTATGTTTTTTACAAGAGTAAATCCATAGCTAAAGCTCTAAGTCAGATTCCATTCTGAGAACTTTCATTCAGATTCCATTTTCTGAGGACCCTCCAGCTATCACAAGAAAGCACCCTTGTCTTTAAAGTTAAAAGTGAAATTTAGGGAAATAAAAGTCAGGAAGGAGGATGAAGAGAAGAAAAGTACTTTTCTGCTTCCAGGGACAAGTACTACTATATAGCATCTTCAGCCAGTTATTTCACTTCCAGAAGATCTCTGAGGTTAAAATCAATCCAAAAAAAAAAAAAGAGGTAGATTGAAATAGAGAGGCTGCTCATACCAAGACACACAAAGCTATAAAAATTTACTCAACCGAGTTCAGATAATATCACCTAGTTTCTACATACCTATTTCATCCCTCCCATTCTCCTCTATAGGGACTATACTGTGCTTCTCACATAATATCTGAATTTTCCACCACTGCAGCAGGCAAAATTATTTCCCAGTACTGCCTTATTTTCTTCCTAGGAAAAGAAGCCATTGCAAGATAACAGTACATCCCATGTGCACAGTGTGACTGAGGGACTGATAGCTCACCAGGTTTGCTATTGGTCTGACCCCTTGGGCCTTTGTACACATACCACGTAGCTGATCGAAACACAGAGAGAGTTACTACAAATCATCCACAGAGTGAGACCCGACTTTACACTGAGAAGAGTGTAGGTTGCACTGCATATTAAATGCACAGCTCTTTGTGCAGTACTAAACGTACCCATTCACAATGTGTTTAAGGAATCCCAGGTGCTTACAGCAGTCCTGGTCTTGTTCTGTTAGAATTTTAATGCTCGCATTGTGCTTTTCTAAATTTAACTGTTTCTTTCTTTTTAAAGGGAGTGAATATCCATATCTCCATTTTACATAAGAAGAAACTGAGCCATGAAGTAGCCTTTTCTCATCAAGATGAAGTGTTGAAGCCTGGTAGCAAAACCAAGAAAGAATTCAGGTCTCTCAAGACGTGTTTTAACAGGCCATGCTGCCACCACACTACTAGAGTACCATTCCACTTCTGACTTCAACCCAAATCTCTCTTTAGGGGAGCTGGAATGGATGGTCACCAAGATGAGGAAATTAGATACTTGAACAGTGATGAAAAATGTCTCTACTACCCTATTTCAGCTCTGATGTCTTCTTATCACAGAGATTTCTCAACACTAAAGAGATATGTTTCTCCCTCTCTCTCCCTTCCAATTTGCTAATGCATTTTCTCTCCCCTTACCTTTAAAGTATAGGAAAGACTAAGTCTCTACCTCTGTGTCTCAACCTATCCCTTCCTCCCTAGCATTGCCTTCCATATCTCTAAGCTTTTTTTTTCTTCACCCCTTTTCAATACCTTTCCTCTATTTGTTTCCTGTTTCCACTTCTCTTATTATAGTTTCTCTTATCCATCAAACCAGTGATCAAACCAGTTTCTCTTATCCATCTTCTGCTCTAATCTCAGTAGTTGAGGACATCAAAAGGATATCCTATTCATCATCAGCTTCTAGAAAGCATTTTTGTCACTTTCCCCAGTGATCTTCGTCATAGAAAACATGATAGAGATTTTATTTTCTACGGCAGTTTTATTTTCTATTTTTATTCTTTTAGGAATGGTTGTATTTCTCTTGGTTCTCCTTTCCACTTCAATTACTAAGAATAACAGTCCTCCGAACTGCGGACCACCTCTCCCCATACTCTTTGACCTGCAATTTTCTCTTTCTTTTCATAGTATTATCTTAGGTAGAAGCCTTTCTTAGTTCATTTTTCCCCTTCCATATTCTTTGGTGCTTCTCTTCTAGAGTACAAAATACTCTTTAATTCCTCCCTCTTATCTTAAGAGGGATGCAACCTCTAGGTGAGTGTTCTCTCCTCCTTCTCATCACTGCAGGAAGGAAAATTACTTTTCCTCCATAGTCACATAGATACGTGGGCATATGCTCTCCAACAGGAGACCTAGGAAAAAGGCAGGGTCTGTTGCTTAACCCATACTTCCAGTAAGGTGGGTGCTATAGTCGCATAAGAAAGCTACTTGAAAGAACCTCCTTCTCCTTACTAAACCATGTAATGACATGATTTGATTCCTAATCAAGATTGAAAAGTTGCATAGACATATCGAACAGATACTTTTTTGACAGGAACTTGTAAATGTCATTGAGCTGCAGTACTCCTGTTATTTTTGCGTTTTTTCTCTCTCAGAAATCCACAAAGGTAAGGCAGAAACACACCCCGCACACACCTGAAGGAGATTTCAACATAGAGCACTTTGCGCAGAGGCTGCTGAGAGGTTCTGCACCACACCAACTCGCTGGTCTCCAGAAGCTTCTTCAGCAGCCCTTGCATAGAGGTAGAAAACAGTCCTTAATGGGGGGGGGGGGGGAGGCTGTTATAGGAAGTTATAGGCTGAGGCCTGCCTACTCGCAGCTTTTGGCTGGATTTGAGCCTATTTCTGAGGCATCTCAAGACTGTTGGGAAGCTCCTGAATCTTGACAATTCAACAGTTTCACCAAGGCTCTTGGGACATAAGGGATGTTGTTTATGTCACACAAAAGATGACTCAGTGTATAACAGTATCAGACGTTATTTAAAAGAGAAATAGGAGGAGGAGCCAGGCCTGTGTTGCGAACCGATCCAGCAAGCATTAGGAGGAGAACGGCAGCTCTAGGATTCAGACTGAAGAGAAATGGCAAAGAGGGAACTCAGACAAACTCTCTACACAACTGTCCGGTAAAGAAGAGCCTCAGTCTGTCCCCATCCTCCTTGGGATCTGTAGCAGCTAGAGGAAAGGCAATGTGGAATGGTTAGGGGATGTGACACCCTCTCTCTTGCCACCCTCTTTCACAAAATTCCCACAGAGCTTGACTTTCCACACAAAAGGACATCATTGCAGTCTACATTTTTCAGTGTCTCATGAATAACCATCTTGAGATGTAGAGGGAGATGAGTGGTTAAGACAAAAATAAAAAAGACAATTCCTGCACGAACATTTGGAATATTTCAAAATTATTTTTATATAATAAAAAATTGGAAACTGTAGGTTTCACACAACAGGCATACTCATCCAATGATTCTAATAAAGTTTAAAGCATTTGCCACAGAGAAATCCTAGGAGAGGGAGATACTGAAAAAGGTGTTTTGTAGTACTTCTTTCGTTCTTTCTTTCTTTTGATCACGTAATCAGGAGACAGGCAAACTATAATAAAGGCCTAAGGCAGGGACTGGTAGGAAAGGGAGCCACAGTTAGCTGGACCCTCACAAAAATAATCTTAGGATGGTAAAAGAAGGAGAGGAAAAAGGAAATGCATAAAAACTGTATAATCCATGAGAGATAACTTTCAGAGCTCTGACTAAGTTTGAATTTATTTCCACCGCCCAGGAGCAGTTAATTAACACTATCATTGTTAATGACAGATGGCTTAGAAAAACTCTGCCTCTGCAGCTGGGATAAGAGTGTGTCAAGTACGGAGTCTCTTTTCTTGCAAAATATATACAAAAAGAAATGAAATCTCTACTCTGTATAATGGGTAAAGCAATATGGAAGAGTATAAAAATTACAGCCTCATAAAGCCAAAGCAAACCTCCACATTGACCACAGGCACCTTTATTCATTAGACTGATTTTTAAAGAGGATTTTATTTCCATTTTTCAAGAGCATTCCCCTGGGTATAACTGATCTTTGTTTCCAGTGTAGTTAGCATCCCGCTATATCAGGTCTGACAGGATATCTCACCATGCTGCAGTTGCTTGACCCTTACCATGCATGCTTAACTCGTAATATATCTTTCAATACCTCCAGTTTCCTTCTTGTGTAAAAGCTGGTTTCATTTAAGCAATGAACAATCTATAGAATTATTTTCTCAGATTTTTTTGCAAGTTTTATATAGAATGTGAAGCAGGAGTCCAAAAAGTTGAATGATTTCAGTCTTCTTTGTAGCTCACTATCACTCTGCTAATCTGCACTACCCAGAACATTTTTATAAGTTGCAACTGGAAAGGACAAAAAGAGAGTGCAAACTAAAATATACAAGAACACACAAGTGTAAATGTAAGTACAAGTAGGGCTGATTTCACTAAGTAGCTTAATGTGAAAAATTTACTAGTGCAGATACATAGCTTTCTTCCTATTTCTTGAGAAATAACATGAAATATAGACCTCTCTCAGCATCTACTTTACTTTTATCAAGCAAACAGCAACAACTGGAGTTTAAATATACTAAGCAGAGCAATAACATCCCTTGCTTTACACTGAGCATTTCCACATGTTTTTATCAATTACAGTTTTCTCATCTTGCTAGATGACAAGGCAGCAATATATTAGCGTTCCCAAGACTAGATACATAAACCATCCTGCTCTCTACAGGACTCCTTGCAGGGAAAAGCTGTCTTGCAGCTGGAAGTGGAAGCTTTCTTCTTCCACTCCAGCTTTCCCTTGGACAACCGCAGACTCATCCCTAGAGGGCACCTAACGAACACAGCTCCAGGGCACATAGCACATTTCCTGCAGGCTGCAGGATTTATCACTTTTAACCAGCTTCTCCCTTCTGTTTCTAATTGCACTTCCAGACAAACTACTCCGAGTGAAAACATCTGAGCTCATTCCAGTTACTTTTTACCAGCTCCTCATTTATGCACTCCCAGAAAGCTTTCTTGGGCCACAACTATTTCCCCTCCCCTCCCCCCCAACAAATTTCAGGACTATCATGTGCATTTCTTTCAACTGCGGCTCCAAAGCCGTTTCCCCTTACCTTATGATAACAAACATGACCAGAGAGTTTCCCACCAAGCCAACAACGAAGACTACTGAGTAGACAGCAGTGATGATAATGGGGATGGCGGGGGAGATGCTGGTGTGGTTGTGCTGGGCGTCCCCAAAGGCCCCGGTGGCGTTGCTCTCATAGTCCTCCCAGCCCAGGAGCCAGCTGCTGCTGGTGCTGGGGGAGCGACAGGACCCGGGGGAGCAGGTGGAGCCTGGCTCCTCCCGGAAAATCTGCACGGGGGCATCCATACGGCCACGGCCCCACGGGCAGGAGAGAGGCTGGGACAAGAGTGCAGACAGCAGAAGGCAAGTACACTAGAAAGACAGAAAAGAGGGAATGAAATAGAAGTGATATCACAGCCACTGGACATTAAGACACTAAAAATCTGTATATATTAAGGAGGGTTCTGTTGTGGCAGGAACTGTAGTTTGCCAGGCAGAGATTTAAGCAAACCATATTTGGAGTAAATAAATACAAGTTTCAAATCTTGATATATATTTGGTAACTTCTGCTCCTTCAGATGCACAAGGAAAGTTTTCCTCCACTTTCAGAGATTACACAGAGAAACAATTAGAAGAGATATCGTGCAGATGGGAAACAGCTTCAATCCACCCCCGCGCTTTAACCCTCTCTCTCCCATCCTCCATATTTTTAGTCAAACAGTATCCTAATGACTGGGGCTCCTTACTGCATTAGCTCTCCTAAATAGGAGAAGAGAGAGGAAAACCCACCACCTTTCTCCATATCTGCTTTGACATCCTTCCCTGAGTTATTTTCTTTCAGATCCCACACCTGCTTTCAGAAAAGACACACATTAATGACATAAAATACCTCTTTCAGTCCAGCAAAGGAGCAAAGTCCCCAGACAGATGTTCTTTGCAGCAGAAAAAGCACCTGCTTAGCTCCTGGCAGTGCCAGGGATCTTCTAGGACTTTTGAACCGGCGGCATCTGCACCTCTGGAGACGGAGGAACGTGCTGGCAATGGAGCTGATTCCCAGGCACAAGCTGCGATGTGGTAGCAGCAGTTGCTGCTGTTCCAGCTCCCACCACTACCCCTTTTCACTCTCACACTCTCTCTCTCTGCCTCTCTCTTACTCTGCTAGGGCTCCAGCAGCACTCTGCACTAATGCACACATTTCTACTCTGTCTCCATGCTTGCAGCTCAGAAGCTCACATGACTTCTGTCTAAACACTTGAGAGGCAGACAAATTAAAAGAAAAGCAAGAAATAAGTTCTACAATAAATGAATGCATAATTTGTATACACTTTCCAAATTGCCTTTCCTCATTCCCCTTGCATCCTAGGCCTCAAGCAATGTTCCCTCCTACCTTTCTGAATCCCTCATGATTTGTGGACTAGTAGATGCTGAATAAAACAGGAATTTTCCGTTTAGATTCCTTGGCTGGTCCATCAGCTCTTTTGTGACTCAGCTTCATAATTGCATACTCAGACCACTTCTAGTTGGGTAGCTGTGCTGTGCTCCTTCACACTTACAACCTGGAGGGATGTCAGAAGGTGGCTACTAAAGGAGAGAGAGAGAGCCAGGAACAGCTGAAGGAACCCCAGTTGCTGCCCGTAGTTAATTCAAACTGTCTTGTACTGTTTTGGAAGCCAAGAATCCCATTTTGCACCACACAAGAAACTCCACCATCAGAGATCTGCTGTCTCTGTACACCAACTGTGGCTGGGGATGGAGGGTCAGCGTGTGCAGAAATCAAACCCTTCAGAGCTATATAGCTCACATAGCTCACGGGCTAATAGCCCATCACGCAGGGGCTGGCATCCCAATCTGTGTACAGAACCTCTTCGTTCACATGCGGGCCTTGAAATTCCCAGTAGAACTCCCTCTAAATGCCAAATTGGAGAGGTGAGAAAGGACCTAAGTAGTTTCCACTCCCCTAGAAGAGGTGGGATATAGCCAGACTGGCTGCATGTCAAAACACACTGCAGAAATCAGGTCTCTGCAGGCCAGAGCAGACTGCCAGGCATTTCTGTGTATTTTAGTGAAGTTCAGAAGGCCAGAGAAGATGCTGTGGGTATCCTTCATCCTTATTTTATGTAGAAACTTTACTTCATGTTCCTTTTGTAGAGCCTCTGTGATCAGGCTGAAGTTTCTATTTTTTAAACATTTTTTTCTTTGGAAGCCTATAATCAAGATGAGAAAAAGGAAACTGCAATGTCTATTGCAGAGCTGAAAGTCATGAAGAAAACTTAAAATATCCAGAATCCTTTCTTTTTGAGGCAGACGCTCAAGATTAAAGGTGGTGGTGGCTCTGAGTCTGGCCACTGCTTTGTCCAGAACAGACTTGTATGTTACAGCATCTGCTTACTACCGTCTGTACAGAGCTGTTTAAAAGTTTAACCTTTGCTGAGGTTGTCAACAAGTGCAAGACAGCAAACATACAACAAAAGCATTCCTAAGCCAAATACATTTTAAGGATTGAACATAGACCTAAGAAAATAAAAGTTTCTTGGAAAACAAAACAAGACCCTAACACAAAATGGACAGATCCCTGTCCTGTTTTTTTTTTTCCCTTGCAATCCATTGGCCTCTGCAAAAGTACTGAAAGGAATTATTACTGCTACTTCATCTCATACGTGGAACAATTTGGCAATTGCTATCTTCTTTATAACATTTTCCCTGGACTTCTTCATATTCTGGAATTAAAATATACCGGAGAGCCATAAGATAGCAATATTTTTAGCCTTCATTGATAATCCATTTCTTATGAGCAATTATTTTGTTTCGGGAAGTACCTTAAGTGCAACCATACACAGCTGCAATATAGCTATTTAATCAATGAAATGGATTTTACGGGTTATTCTGGAGAGGGAGAAAGCAGCAGCAGCAGTCTGCAATTCTCCAGTTGCTACAGGTGGATCAGAAACATCCATATGGGGAAGAAAAGTCTATTACTGCTATGCATAAATCTAAACTGGAGATGGCCTGAAAAACTTAGTATGATTAATTAACAGTAGAGTCAAAGCTTTTTCAAGCACAACAGTAGACTCAAAGCTTTTTGAAGTTGGACAGTATAGTTCTGACCTTTAGCTTTCTCTTGCTAAACTCTGCACTGAAACTCTTCAGTGATCGCATCTAAAAAGATGTGTTAACAGCACAATCGCTGCCCCTTAGTGGAGTAAGGGTGTGTTGCAAATAAATGGGCGTGGAATAAGGTGGACTTTGGCCAGGACACTGCAAATTACAGGGCAAGCCAAAGACAATATATGTTTCCTTGTGCTTTCTGTCTCTGTATCCTCCATGTGAGAGGCTCAGCTCCAGCTATCATTTATTTTAGGCCTTTGCAATTCAAGAGGAAGGAGCCCTTGGTCTAGAGAAGTGCCTTTTCCTTTGAAAGTCAAGTGAAATTCATATAAACTGACAAAAATAATCTTTCGCTTATTTATGTTTGCATTCTTGAGGAAAATTGATATAACTGGGTTACCAGTAGTGACTGGGCTCAGCATACGTACTAGAAATGCTTGCAGTAGTATCAAAAGAAAAACCCAGGACAAAGAATCATGCTTACCCATCTTCTTCATCTTCTTCAACAGATAATCATTCAGCGCCGTTATATCCTTTCTGATAGTCCTGGGGTGGAGGACAGGAGTGTCCTGAACTCATGAGGGAAGAGAAAGAAAAGGTCTGCAGTCAACATAGCCCAGTTTGTCCACACACCAGTACTCTCCCAGAAGTTCTTCTCTCCTCTGAGGGATCATGTGAGACAGCAGATCCTGTTCTTTCAAAAGAAGACAAGGAACGATTTTGGGAAAAAAGACAGCATAAGAGCACAGTATCTCAGCCACTCAGCTACAACTTTGCTGCAACACTGATTTTGCAGATCTGGGACTCACATGCCCCCAGATTTTTTCATGGCAATACTGGAGATTCAGAGTTCACCTCACTGGACTTTGCCTGGACGTTTTTTCCCATTAAAAAAATAAAATTCCATATCAGATTCTGTATTTAAGGAACATTCCTTATGTTGTAAATTCTAGCCCTCAAAGGTAAAGAAATACCACATTCAGCGGTCCTATAGCTAAGGCAGAACAATGCAAGTGCATTCACACAACCATATCGTTTTTTTCCCGAGGATCCCTTCCACATTCACAGGTCAGCTACGTAATATTGCTACATTTAGGTAGAAGTGCTATAAAGTGCTTCCTTCTGCATGCCTAGTGAAATTCCCTGATTGAATAGGGAACATGGCGGGAGGGAGATGTAGGATATTTTAAAATATCAGGTGGGAAGGGCTTCAACTTTTTTTTTTTCTCTTCATTACCAATGTCTAAGCTAAAAAGCTGTTCCTCCATCAGCACAGTGCTTCAAAACCTTAGCAATGCCCTGGGACATTACTCCAGCCCTGACTCAGAGCTACGAACGAAACGCACTGAATCACTGGCACGGTGCTGTGCGGCAGCCGCGCGGGGTGCTGCAGCGGGGCCCCCTGTACCCTTCCCGTGCCCGCGCACTGCCGCTGCTGCGCGGAAGCTGCTTGGTCCCCAGTGCTGTTCCCCGAAAGACCACGGCATCTTTCAAGGCTTAAGTCAAATTGCCAGAACAGGGCGAACCTTGAAGTTCAGCCACGAACTGTGACGCTGGGTATTTTGACGGGGGATCGTGCGCAAAGGTCGCTTTTTATTCTAGAGATGGGGAGGGAGGCAAGACGAGTTAAGCGGAGCAGGCTATCAAATCCTTTTTTCAGGTCGTTCCATAGTTATTTTTGCTACCTGGTTGACCACAGGCTACAATTATAGCACCCCGGCGTAAAGGGAGGAGATGCGGTAAGAGCTTTCCTGCGGTCGCAGTTGCCAGGGAAACAAAGTCCTCCTGCCTCTGCGCATCCCGAAACCCTAGCTGCCCGCCTGAGCGCAGCTCTCGGGAAACGTTGTGTCTTATCCGCCTCAAAGGCCAGCAAGGGGAAGGAAGGGGAAAAAAAGGAGGGCAGGAAGGTAGATGGAATAATTATTCCCGTGCCGTGTGGCGGCAGCCAGGCCCATGCGGGGCCACCGGCATGGCGCGGCCTCCCGTCATCGGGACGGCGGTGGCCCCCTCGGCTCCCCGCTGTCCTTCCCCGACCGGGCCCGGCCCTGCAGCACCCTGGCAGCGCGGCCGGGATCGCTAGTGGTAAGGCACAGGGCCGCGTCTCGGGAGCAACGGTAAAACTGTCCAAGCAGGTCACCTTCTTCCTTACGTTTCGTCTAGTCAAGGTTTGCTACGGTTCCTGCTTTTCCGGAGCGAACGGCAGAAAGGGCTCCCAGAGGGGACACCAGCAAACGGAGAGCAGCCGGACAGCGACCTGGTGGAGAATTTTTAGTGCCTCTCTAAAGGGGAAAATTGTAGTGATCCTCAGAGATCTATAGTCCAGGTCTTACCTAACAAAAAAAAAAAAACTACCTGATCCTAAAGTGTCTCTAATTACTGTTTACTAATGATTATTTATAGCTCCTTCTCTGGTGAAGCACTATCAGTTGATCACCTTTCACAGTAATTTGGCTGCCCAGCGATTAAAGCATGGCTTGGCAACAGCACAGTACTGTCAGCAGCTGATACACCGCTCCGGGGAGGGAACGGGGATCAGCTAATACCACCCCAACTTCCATTCAGCTTCTGCTCTGATACACACCACACTGTCGATGCCACTTTATGGGCATAAGTAAAAGTCACTTTAACATTATTCTGGTTATTTCTTTTGGGAAGATCTTAGCAGATTATGTGGGATGGGCACTAATTTCTCCCCAAAGAGCACAAGCTCCTGGAAAGCCTTCTCCTTACCTTTACTGCAAAGGGAAGAAAGAAGATTCATTTTCTGGAGGTAAGAATCACATGCCAGTTATGTGCTAATTATATCCAATCTTAATCCTCTTTGCTTCAGGCTTAGAATTGTGTGTTTGCTTTTCCTGATGGCCGGCAGAAGCAAGAATCAGCATGAAAACAAGTGACATAGCTCAAGTGAGAGAAAAGAACTCAAATTTTCCACATAAAACCTCACTCCTCCCGCCTCCTTTCCCACCTGTGTGTCCTAGCTTTTGGCATCTTCGTTCATACATGATTAATTTTTTAAACATAAAAGTGCTGTGATAAGAGAAGGGTGAATTAGCTCTCTGAGTAGGAGGTTGTGCCTGCACCAGGTGACCATGCCAGCCACTACTACCTCCAGGGCAGAGTGGGAAAGGCTGAACCTCCCTCTGTCTTTCTCCCTTTCACTTTCCCCTGCTCATCTCTTCCTATTAGTTAACTCAGTTGATGCTCAGAAAATCAGCCAGAGCTGTAGGAGTGAATGGTGTATTAACAGCAATCCTGACAGCAAAGGGTACCAAGGAGAAGCAGGCATGGAGGACAAAGCTTTCCTCAAATACAGGAGGGAAAAGTGCAAGAGGAATTGCTTGAATACCTATGTGCCAACAATGCTCACAAAGCAAACCCTG